TATAGATGATTTTTTTCCTTTCACAAACACTGTTCAATCATCAGCGAACACTTCTGAAGTGACCGTGAGAAAACCACCAAAAATAACACGAATGAAGAAACACAGATAGAATAATTGTTTTTTTTATTTATATAAAAGCCCAAAACTGAACACAAAAAAGGTGTGAAAACGGGTGTAGGTCACAATCAGCCAGGGTTTCGGGTGAGCTCATTGTGAAACCTAGCCCCACCCTATCATTTCCTGAGGTCAAATGGCCCAGGATGTGAGAGGGCGTTAAGGCGTCTGGGAAGGGATTTTAAAACTGGATTATAGATGGCAGACAGTTAGTGTCATAAGCCACCGCCTCTGTTCAAAGATGGTCGCTCACAGTGGACGTAAATGGCTTCTTTCACTCCTCTTTCAAACCATCTGTCCCCTCTGTCCAAAATGTGAACATTGGCATTGGCGTCCTAGTGACCTTTGTCCTTTAGATGCAGATGAACAGCCAAGTCTTGTGGCTCTTCTACGTTGTGCCATGTGTATGTGACCCATTTGACTCTAGAACTGAAGAAGCTTATGGGATGAAAGGCGAAATGGCTTCAAGCAACTTAAAGAAGTCCAGACGCTTTTCTTTCCAAGCTTCTTAAACTACGATGACCTGGATGACTGAGAACCTTCACAGACATTTGTAGGTAAATTTAATTACAAATAAAATAGAGTGAAATTCCATTTAACTCTAGGATAATTAAACACTTTTTTATATGCTGTATTATAAAGTGCTACCAATGAAAATAAATTGAAATAGGGCTCTCTGACTAAGAGGTTGAAGGTTATGCCGTCCATCTCCCAACATGGACATTTTGATCTTCTTCACAGTGAAATTTGACACTACTGGAGCATCACTGTGAGGTCAAATTACTCCAAGGGATACCACTTGCATGACTGGGAGCTGACTGATAAGCGTCAGTTGTTCTGTTTCACGGTTCAGATATTTGAACACTGGATGACCTTCATCCATTGTCATTCAGTGCTCTCATCTGTGTTCCAGGTAAAAACATGTATGTTTGCACTCTCACTGTAAAGTTGCTCAAATTGGGATTTAGGTTAAAGCTCTGCTGTGCAGAAACATAAAGTAAATCTTTACAGCTGCGAGTGGGTGTCTGAATCCTTAAATTATGAGTCTAAAAATACGCAAATCTTCCCGTAATATAACACTCCCCATATGTATGCTTTTAGGACACAACATGCAGTTTCCTCAGGTTGTTAAACCACCCTCAAAAATGTGGTCATGACCTCAATTTCTTTCCTGTAATTAGAGTTTTGTTTTTTTAATCCGTTGCTATCATTTTTTATGCTACCTGTGTGTTACTGCTTATTGAAAACAGCTTAGACTGTTTGGTTTTCACTGGAAATTAAGTTAGCTGGAATGGGGTCTGCCGAAGCTGATTGTTGTCACAGCTGTGCAATAAACTCTTCATTGGATTCTTGTCGCCATAATAATATCATCATGCAACATTCACCAGTCCCATAGGTCAAACTCACATGTGTATTAAGGATATCAATTATACCACGCTTGGATCACTGAAGATTGTCTTTTCATACAAGATGTTGCATTTGGTGCCTTTCTCTTGTTTATATGAGTGCAGTTTTATTGCGTTCTGCACTTGTTGGACACCCACTCATGTTCTCCCGGACTTCTGTGCCCCTTCATATGAATGTATATGTGATACATCAAAATGCAGAAGAAACTATGTGTGTCTCTGGGTATATTTTGTCCAGTACTGTAAGTGATGGGAAACAGTCTGTTTCTGTGGCGATTGCAGCTCCCTGTGGGAAAGTGTTTATAATTAAGTGTGATTTTCTACATCCACATCAGACCACAGGAAAAAGAATAAGGCAGGCTATTTCCTGTAGTTGCTGCTCAGCTTTTCATTTGTTCCCATCTTTTTTCACTGGTTTAAGAGAGAAATATGCAGATTTTGAGTTGGGAGGACTTGCAATTAACTGATTTAAAATGCTTATTAATTCCACAGGAAATTTTCTTCATGTTAAATTGCTCATTTGAATTTATTCAACAGTTGAGTAAAGTGCAGGGTGAATTCGAATGAGCTCCTCAAACGACTGGAAAGACTGAAATAAAGGGCCATTTGCAGACAGTGCTGAGTTCTGGGTCCATGTCCGCGCGGCCTCTCGGTAGAGCTACATTCACTGGCTCAGTGACCAGAACTGACACGCAGTCGCTCACACAGAACACCGGTGTCAGTTTCAGAGGAGGATGCCGAGGTAGGATATGAAAGACGCGAACACACCGAAAACCTCGGTTTGAATTCATTAGTGGTGTCTGTGACGCCAACTGAAGCGGCGCGAGAGAGGAAAGAAAAATCAGCACGATCTCTGATTCTCCCATGGTTCAGAGAGTTTGTACCTGTACCTGTCAGACAACTTATCAATTCAGCAGGGAATCTAGTAAACAAATCCAGAACCCAGAACCCAAATCCCCTGATACAAACACATTCCTAAAATCATTCATTCATTTATTTTTGGGCATGGAATATTCTTCATAAAATCAGTGAAATATTCAAACAAGGGATGGAATATCAGCTGCATTTGCATGTCATTTTCACATGCTAATGAATTTTTTGGTGGCAGTACATGGAAATAATATTAAAAGAGTGTGGTAAGAGTTTGATATTAGAAAGGTAATATATAAAATATTATGTACTTACTAAAATAATAAGCTTGGGAATATCAAAGTAGATAGCTGGTAATATTAAACTTAGATTTATGTTGTGAAATTCACTCCAATAGCACCAAATTTTTATATCTTTATTATCCATCAATTTATGCATCCATCTTCTGTCAATTTAGAATAACGAATTAACCTAAGCCAGAGTATCTGGAGACACGGTATGGCTCAGCCAAAGGCTGGATTCAAACCTAGGACCTTCTTCCTGTGAGGCAAAGGTGATCACTATAGTGCTGCTCCAGTACTTTAGTAATTTCCTGGTATTACTCTGTTATTAACTCATTCTCATGGCTTATTTAGCCCCATTATTCCCATCTTATTACCACGATGTAATCTTAATTGCCACCCATTTGTCTTCTTGTCACACTGCAGTTATGCAGACTTCTCCATGCATGACTAAACTCGCGAAAGAAACTATAAAGCTTGAGAAGGAATGAAACTAAGAGGGATGGATCTGACTGGACTGTGCAGGAAAAAGGTGGAACGATTTTAATATTATATTATAATAACGAGGTATGGTACAATATCCTAGCAACCGAACTGTAAGAAATGGATCCAGCGCTGCGTGATGCTTCATTTTACATTGAGAAAAATCTCACCCTGCCTGCTGCAAACCATCTGGGTTTTTCTCTGTGACCATTTTATGAGCAGAGCTGCCACGTGGGGCACAGTATGATGCAAGCATAGATTCAATTATGAGGTTGGGGTGTTTGGCAGGAAGGTGTGCCTGTGTGTGTGTGTGTGTGTGTGTGTGTGTGTGTGTGTGTACTGGGCTCTGTCTGAAGCTGATAGATGTGGAGATTTCTAGCTTGGCAAGTGGTTTGGCAAACTGGCAGTAATGTGAGAACGGCCCATTGTGCTTCTGCAGAAAAACCCCTGAACGCTCAGCTGTGTTTACAGCCCAGAGCGTGGCACGGCAGAATCCCCCAACAGCCCCCGCTCCAAAAAACACAGAATCAGAAAAAAAAGTGCCGTTCCCATCCCATTTTTCCTCCAACATGCCCTCCGTGAGGCTGCCTACCAATTAGCCACCGCTGCTGCTGAGGTGAGATAACAACAGAAACCCATGTATCCCCCAAAGACCTCACTAGGACCTTTATTACCGTATTGATATCTTCTGCCTGTCACCGCTGCCCTCACTTGCCTGGCAGCGTGCCAGCAAATTTTCTATGAGCGGGGGAAAAAAACAATCCATAAAGAGGCTGTAACTCAATGCAAGTAGAAAACAGCAGGAGGCAACATCAGACTGAACGGTACATGCTGTAATTAGTGAGAAACTGGAAGGAATAAATATAAAATAAGGTACAGCTGCTTAGTAAATTTAAAAAAATTAAAAAAACAGAACTCAATAATAGGTGAAAGCACAAATATGAATAAAAAAACACAACCAGTGGCAAACAGAGGGGAAAAAACAACAAAAACAGCAGTTTCTAATCCTTTTATGTGCCCACCGATGTTTTATCTCTCAATAATTCCTACATAGACGTAATTTGTCCTTTATGTCACAAAAATGTTAAAAACCTAAAGTACACAATGTCGTTTGAGAACAACGGAAAAATCTAAATATTGCATTTTCCACCCACAGATAATAAAGTGTTCAAGTTAGCTCACATTTTTGTAGCACCACAAATGAGTTACTTCATGGACGCAGTTACAAGAAAGTCCAGTCGTTCAGAACACACACAAAAGTGGCTGGCAGACTAAAATAATAATAACAATAACAATAATAATAACAATTAATAGGCATACATTTTATGTTATTTTATGTGCAAAACTGTTAGCAGTGAAAACAAATTGTACGTTTTCCGATTGTCCGCTTGGTGTCTGGTCAAAACTCAAACCAAACCTTCATTTGCAGCCATGGGTTACACAGACTTTAAATCTTGCTTATAAAATGGGACTGTAACAAAAGTGGTGACATTTAAATGCTTAAAAAGTGAAAAATAAATTTGACCTTCTTAAAAAACTGTATCTGAAAACGGTTAAAAAGAAACATCTCAATGTGAACTAGTCGTCAAAGGCACTCTTTTTAAGGGAGAAAGTGTCTCATGTGTTGTATTTATATCACGTTTCTTTATTTTGAAGCAGGTGAAACGTTACACAGACCTGATCTGATGGAAACTTTCAGCAGTACCACGGCGGCTGCTTGTCGAGTGTTTCGAGTGAGGCTTTACAGTAAATGGATATGGGGTCACTTCTACTGCAAAAGCCGAGGTCAACCTATCAGGTAGCCATTTTGTGTGTAAGTGCTCATAAAACACTGCAAACATCTATTTCAAATGTCCCAGCTGTCACTGAAGTACTGGTCCTCTTCCTCCTCCTCCTCTTCTTCTTCCTCAATCCCATTTGTCATGAGGTCATCCAACTCATTCACTTCCTCCTCGTCCTCGTCTTCCACCTTGAGCTGTGCGAGCATGGTTTGTAAAGTGGATTTTACTTCCTGAACCTCCTTCTCTAAAGACTGTGCAAAGGGAGTTAAGGAAGAATGCTGCTGCAGACACACACACATTAACATGTAAATAAAACGTATGCCAACAGACAAATATGTCACATGTGCCCTGATGTGTGCCCCCTGACGGTTAATGGCGATAGCAGCGAGCAGCCATAACGTGATGAAGTCATCAATCTCCGATTTTGGCCCACGAGCGGATTATCGGGACAGATCATCGAGTCATACTCAATTTAACCCCATCCAATTATTCGCTATTCATGAGCTCGTCTCAACCGTGAGGCTGGGTGGCAATGTGGGGACCCAAGCAAACAGACTGCCCAGCTAAATTATTCATAAACCATCAATGAAACGGGATAGAGGCTGTCAACAGGAGGGGGATTGTTTAACCTGCTTAGAAACTCAAATTAATCGTGTGAGTGTCCAGCTTAAGTGGCAAATCAAAGGGATGGCTTTGATGGCAGATGGGGCCTGATGGCTCGTTTTGCTGTCTGAATGGACACAGATTGTCCTCATTCATAATTAAACAGCTATTAAAGAGCTTTTCATGAATACTGCAGAGGGTTCGACAAGACTTTTAGGGCGGCCTAGTCCAAATGGGAAGAAACTGCTCAGAATGATCTTAAAACCCCTTAAAACTAACCACAAACACCGACAGGATTTTGCCCACCCTCGTCTTCATTTTCTTCAATCCCAGTCTCCGCGGTTGTCCATACACCCCCTGTTATTGAGAGCAGGGACTCAATTAAGACCCTTAGACACTGCCGGTTTGATCGTACTGTCACTATGGCAACAGTCCCAGCCTCGCTAGTTCAGTTTCTGTTCAATTTTCCTTGCAAACCGACAATACTGTCCTCAAGTGTCCACTGCACTTCTGCACGAGTGCAGTGACTTCAAATATCAGAAATAAGTGACACATAAGGACATGAGAGCAGAGAGGTGGAAAGAGGTGCGCTGGTTTCTGTCTATCTCCGACTGCCAGGCTGCATTGAAATCATGCAAACGGGGTCTGTGCTGGCCCCTGACAGTACAGTGGGGGACGCTCTAAAAAGATATAAAAGCAGACTAACCACAGATCAACAAAAAGAGCCGGGGAGGGGGGCACTGCAGAACACACTGATTCTAGAGATCGCCAAATTAAATACACCTGCAGCCCGTGTCCAGCACAGAAAAATTGGACGTGACAGAAACTAAGCAACAGCAGGTAAAGGTGGCAAATTTTCACCACGCCAATGTTGAAATATTACCTTTTGATTCTGTCTTAATACGCCCACCATGCAGAGGGGAGAAGTGGAGCGAGAAAAACACACTAATCTATTTCCAATCAGCCTTCTAATTAGCGCAGAAAATGATGTATTGTGACCTGTAATCAGCTTCAACAGTTTGATTTGAGTCATTATCATGGATATTGTAATTTCCTGCAAACCACATCCAGCAAGTGGAAGTGGGCAAATGGAGAAAGGGAGGGGCGGTGAGGACGGGTGGAGAGAGGGAGGGTCAGCTTGGAGAATAGACGTTAAGATATGACGGGGAGTCATTACAGTGACATTCTTCTATCTGCTGCGGCACTGCCCCCGTCGACCGGCTTTAATCTCAGCCCGTGGTGACTGGCAGCCCGCATCAGCGGCCCTCTAATAACCTCACGTGGATATTTACCGTTTCATTTTCGGGCTGGCACTTCCAACCTGTCAAGAAAAATCCTTTGCACCCAGCTTACATTTGAAGCTGAATGGACAAATAATGTCAGATTAGATAGGCTGATTTTTTCTTCCTTTTTCCCCCTGTTTCGTTGAATGGTAACGTCACAAAACGCAAACATCAGTCTGTCAGCAGTTAAGCAAGGTAGTTTGAATGTGTACTTTGGAGAGTTGGAAGGTCTTGAGGAAAACTAGGTGTTTCAGATAAATGGACAGACACACATAACTGACCCCAAGGTGTGAATTATCGGGTCAGTCATGCAAGAGTAATATAGGACAGCAAAGTCATTGCAACTAGGAAAACTTGGTGGTTCAAATCAGGCTGACTGCAATCACTCTCAGACTGATTGGTAAAGGTTTACAAATAATGCCAATCTAACAGAGGAACTTAGTCAGCATGTCACAATCAATCTGAGCCACTCTAAACTAGCGGTCCCCAACCTTTTTTGCGTTGGTTTATGTCTGACAATATTTTCACGGACCGGCCTTTAAGGTGTCGCGGGTAAATACAACAAAATAAAACCAGTACCGGTACCAAAAAAAGAAGATTTATTTGTAACACACCGGAAAAGACCCAGGGAAACAGAGTTAACGATAAAAACGATTTAAAAAAAATAACGCTGAAAACCTATAAAAACCTCGAAAACCACAAATTTCACACCTGAGCCTCAACTTTTGCAGCCCGGTACCAAACGAGTCACGGATCGGTACCGGTCCGTTCCCGGGGGTTGGGGACCGCTGCTCTAAATCAATGAGTGAAATTAATTTACAATACCGGACTCAACTCAAATATTCTTATATAAAAGCAGGGCTAGCCAGCACCCATGTAATTTGCAATTATATTGCTGTCCTGGAGCAACTATGTCACTATTTGTGCAGCAATTTTCTGTTTCATATCTGTGAGACTCTGGCTGGACTCTAAATGTAAGTAATTAATGTTGGCAACAGATTTGTGAATTGCACTGATTTTTCACAATGAATTGCCCTATTATCAGAAACAGATTGTAAGTGCCAACTTGACCCCATTCAGTTGCAAACTAATAGCACACTGACTCTGTCTTATTGCCATTTTATCCACAACATAAAATGGTGCGCTGTCTACAGAGCACCAAGGTTGCTCTGTAGACAGCAACTGACTATAAGTAAGAGACCTGGACCTTTTCCAAACAACCATTTCAAAGGCACTGGAAGTTCAACACCCACAACACCAATGATTATGTTTGTGCCACAGGCTCCAGCCACTGTTTTCCCCACTGTGACTGTAGCATGATGTATATTTACAGTTAATTTAAAGGATATGGGTGAGGGCCTGATCCCGATTCAGTATGGCCATCTGCAGTTCATCTTCCAAGGACAGCAGCCTGTTGCTGATCTGCTCACAGCGCTCCGTCAGTTCGGTAGCCCCAGTGTCGCTGCACCCATCCTGGGTAAGAGAAGACAGGAAGGGTCAACAAGGGAAGTTGTTCAAATATAAGCATCTGATACTGACAATGATCAAAACACAAGTTTAACTAAAAGTAAATGACCGCTTGTGCTAATCTGATGTAATTCAACCAAAGAAAAGCAAAGAGTTCGGAAACTCTTTGCAGATTTCTGTCTCCTAGAAGGTAACATGCACCAAGCTACAAGAACATTGCCTACAGCTCCCATAATGCAACTGGGCAGTTATTTTATTAGCCCCTCCTTGCCTGATAAAAATGACAAACCGTGTTTGCATGTGGATACTGCAACAAACAATAAACCTCAAAGTTATCATCGTGCTTCATGTTGCCCTGGGTTAGATGAACTGCTTGCAGGCTCACACACTGACATGTTTATAGCAGCTAACGTTTTTTTTGCCATTTTAACCACTTGCAAGTCTCAGTTAATGTGCAACAAAAAGCATTTATTCGCAAACACACACCTAGGGGGGCAGTGTTTACAACATTAAGAGATATCTGTGTATCACACCAGAAGATGCTACAAGGCCGGGTGCATTTTGAAGAATGTCAGGGATGTCAGGTTGGTGGAAGTTCAGAGTGCAGTAGGGCAGAGCATTCGGGGAGCAAAGCTGGCCATAATTAGAACAGCCCCCTTTGCAGACATTGTGTCCTAGTTTCTTCTCTCTTATCAAGCATAGAGAACACAAACGCACACCCAAGAGTACACGCACACTCACTTCAAGCAAACAGACACACACACACACGCACACAGACTCAGTGTTCTCCTTAAACAACACAAAGAGTCTAATCTGACTCATAGCTGCAGGTTAAAAGAAAAAGAAAAAAAATCAACTCCCTGCAGCTCAGAGGTGTCAGAACAATCACTGAAAAGTCGCGTCTCTGGTCTCTGCCCTGGAATAGCTCTCCCACTCTGGATGATGTAACACCAGAAAAGAAATGTACCACAACAGCAAGTGTTGGGGGCGGCAATATGTGCAAGACATCCTGACACAATTATGGAATTAAGCGAGATTTTTTAAATGCGGAGAGGCCCACAGGAAACAGCATTCAGAGAAAAGATATTTTAGCGCTTGAGGAACTTTGAATGAACAAACGATCACTGTCACAAGTCTCTCCTCTGGCTTCACTTCACCTCGTCCTGGATCTTTTCCCCTCAACAGATTCAGTGAGCTGTTTGTTTATCCAGGTTAGGGGCTTCTCCAGCAGATAAGGGCCCTGGGTTTGTGTAGCTAATTGATTCTTTACTTTCCAGCCTTCAGTCAGCTTTTGTAAAGTCAATACAACCACAGGACAGAAAACAAAAGCTCCCCGTGCAGAATGACACTCTTTAAAACATACGCCTGACAGGTTGTTTAAAAACCCTTAAAACAAAAACAAAATCTTTAAAAAAAACCCAAAAAAAATCACAAATTGTAATGTTGCTCCAGGTGGTGATCAAAACAGCTTTCTTCGCTATCTCTGCCTTTGACAAAGAAGGCGACAGATTTCACCGACATGTCAATTTGCATAATAGAATCGCAGGCTTGCGTGTATTGGCGTGTTGATTTCTGTTGTACATTAGCGCTAATGTTATTAAACCAAAGTAAACAAAGCACACTGGGGGAGCGTGGTGTTGAGGAAATTATTTAGGAATTCAATATTCAAACTCATGTATGCAGTGGTATGATTATTTAAGCAATAATGAGTGAGAGGCAGCAGGTAATTGTGCATGCTCCCATGGGTGCTGTTCTACCCACTTTGCACCAGGCGGACAATACAAAGCAATATTATTGCACTGGCATAGCACTCGAGGCAGTATTTGCTTAAAAAAAATACAATGGCTAATTTATTTTAAATAAGAAACTTGGAGTGCCTGACTTTTTCATAAAAAAATAAAAATAAAAACTAAATGAATATAAATGAAAGGCCAGTAATACGGAGGTTCATGCCAAACAAGTTCAGCAGGAGGTAAAAGTCTGTATTTTGCAGCATATTGTAAACAGCAGATCAAACGTAAATCAAGATTTTAGCCTCGTTAATGCGTTAAGTACTTTTTTATGTACAGGAAAACACATCAAAAATATATCAAACAAATTTCGTATGAGAACTTTTAGTGTGTTGTCTTGTCTTTTGGTCCCTGCATTCACACGGGTTCTATTTCTCTCCTACCTCTTGGCAGCCAGCTGTCTGCAGTGGAAGTTACAGAAATCTTATTTCAAATTTTGAGGTGAAACGTTCAAGGACATCATCACAGTAAAATGCTAAAAAAAAAAATAGGTGTCTCTCAGTGAACAGCAGCCTGCAAGTTAAGCACATCCACGACACCGCTGCTGAAGGAAAGCTATTAGCTCATACTTGAAGTACTTTCTAAGTTAATTTTCTTAACAATGATCAGTTTCAGGTATATTCAAGTTGCAACTACCTTGTAATGTAAAAGGTTGCTTTTTAGGTTTCAACACTAATCCTTACCAACAAATACGTCTGCAAAGGAACATTTTATACAAATATGTGCAGTAATAAGAGAATTCAGTACTGCAGTTATTTTATTACATATTCAAGGCAGTATGTAGTAGAGATGGACCGATCCGATATTACGTATCGGTATCGGTCCGATACTGACCTAAATTACTGGATCGGATATCG